CATGCCTTCCTTTGTATTATTTTTTTGTATTCCATTTAAATTCCTCTATTGACTTTACTCCTGGTGTGGCGCTGTGGGTTAATACAGCAGCTTGAACTTCAAGGTCAGCAGTTCAAGTTCACCAGCCACTCCTGGAAACCTTATACAGGGTCGCTATGAGTCAGAATTGACTCAACGGCATTTAGCAACAACAACAATGGCTTTAGCTGAGGAGTTCTGGTTGCATAGTGGGTTATACATTGGGCTGCTAACCAAAAGGTCAACAGTTCAAGTCCACCAGGCACTCTGCAGGAGAAAGATGAGGCTTTTTGCTTCCACAAAGTTTTTTGTTTTGTTTTTCTTCAGACTCAAATACAAATACATTTACTATGGAGAGTAAGAAACAGTCCTTAGCTTACACATTGCCCTTCCAGGCAGAGGATCTGAGAGTATTCCTTGTGCTGCAGTGGTCCAGACAAGGCAGAACAAACAGCCCCAGTAGAATTCAAGTAGGGCACGCAGTGTTTAAGTGGGAAGGAAAAAAATTAAAGTTTTCTTTTTCTTGTTTGGTGACAAAGCATTATGTAATATACACCAGCTTTTTATAGGACACCAAAATGAGGATATACTTTGAAAGACATCTGAAAGAAAACATAAGCTTACAAACACCCAATAACAATAACATTTGTAAAATTGAAGCCCTTTGGTTCTTTTTGTTTTGTTTTGTTTCCCACAGAGAGCAAGACAACAGAAGGCAGCAAACAGTCATTCTACCCAGGCCAAGGAAAGTCAACTCTCAGAAGCAGAAATCCAGGCCACCACACCGAGAGTGTGGAGTCCTGGTACGGTGCTGCAGGATAATGCGCTGGACTGCAAAATTAGTTTGAACCTCAAGCTTACCAGTGGCTCCTCAGAAACCCTATATAGAGTGGCTATGGGTTGGAAAAAACTTGACAGCACTTAACAACAACAACAACAACATATGTGTACAGCTACAATATAGTATTATAATTTTTGCTTACATAGTCATATGTATTTTAAAGAATTTAAGAAAAGAAAAGGATTACAGCATTTTATATTTAAATACAAAGGTAAGATTTCTGGTGTCATTCTTTCCTAGAAATCCAAGCTTCTATTTAAGGTCATTTGCTTTAATTTGAAGAGCTTCCTTTAACATTTCTTATACTGTAGGTCTGCTAGCAATTAATTCCTTTTTTTGTTTGAGATATTTTTGCTAATCTTGGTTTTTTGAAAAATAGTTTTTCTGGATATGGAATTCTTGGTTAACAGATATTTTTTCTTTTAATACTTTGAATATGTCACGCCGTTGTCTTCTAATTTCCATTGTTTCTGATGAGAAGTCAGTCATTAATATCATTTTATATATAAGTTATATGTAACTGTATACACACAATTTTTACATATGCACAAATAGACACACAGAAGGGTAAGTAAAAAAGTATTGCTACAAAATCATAGAAATCTTTATTAAACAAAAATGTCAAAATATAAAATTATTGTTTCTCCACATATCCTCCATCTAGCTCTATACACGTCTGAAAGTGGTGTTTCCTACTCTCTAACCCTCCCCCAAAGAATTCTACACTCTTCAGTTTATACCATGTCAAAACAGTAGTTTTGTCATCCTCGGGGACCTCAAATCATGTTCCTTTTAAATATTCTTTGAATTTTAAAAGCAAAAAGAAGTTTGAAAGGGCAAGAGCAGGGCCATAGGGTGGATGGGGTAAGGTTTACCAATGAAATTCTCATAGGACAGCCCTTGCCACCCTAGAAACTAAGCATGTTTGTCATCTACATAATTTTCCTGGCCTTTTTCATGCCAGTACAATTTTTCATTTTCTTAAAACTTCTGCCTAATAACCCATGTGCTGGTCCAGTATCCTTCAAGAAAATCTATCTAGATTATCCCTTTGGATCCCCCCTAAAAAATTGTCATAACCTCTGAACTGACTTCTCTGCCTTGAATTTAACTGGCCCAACAGATCCCCAGAAGCCCAGAAGCAACTGTTTTGACTGGACCTTTTATTTTATTTATTTATTTATTGAAGGCACCCTAACAAGATTAAGGCACGGGTATTGCTAATAGAACTTGTTTGCAGCCATCCACCGATCACAGAGACATGTTTAAACACACTTTGTGTGTAATAAGCCCTTTCATGTATGAACTAGACACCTAGTAGCAATATTTTTTTTTTCCAGGTATGCATTGCTTAACTTCCTTTGGAGCAACATTGGACCACATCAGTAGTTCCATAAGTTGTTTTTCTTTAAGTAGTGAATATCCTTTTATTATTTTCCACTAATGGTTTTAAAGATCCCAAGCTCTCAGAGTGAACAATCAGAGGGGTTCCAAAGCACATCCCAATCCACACAGTGCCTCTTCCTTCACCCTCCACCTGACTTCATTCACCATACCAAATGTTATCATAGCAATAGAACAATTGGACTTATAGTGACTCTGTATAGAATTTCTGAGGCTGTAAATCTTCACAGGAGTAGAAAGCATCATCTTTCTCCTGCGGAGTCTTTGGTGGCTTCAAGCTACTGACCTTTCAGTTAGCAGCCCAACACGTAACCACACTACCAGGGCTCCTTGTTGTTAAGTGCTGTTGAGTCAGTTCCAACTCCTGGTAACCCTGTGTAGGGTTTCCAAGGAGTAGCTGGAAAGCTTGAACTGCTGACCTTGAGGTTCAAAACAACCTTGCAGTCCAGCGCATTAACCCACAGCGCCATACCAGGACTCTACCAGGGCTCCTTAGAACTCCCTTATATTGCTGGTGGGAATGTCAAATGGTACGACTTTGGAAAATAGTTTGGGTGTTTCCAATAAATTTAAACATATACTTACCATGTGACCTAGGCAATTCCATTCTTGGGTATTTATATAAGAGAAAGGAAAAATATGTCCACACAATGTCTATGCATATTTATAGATTTATTCATAAGAATCCCAAACTGGAAACAACCCTAATGTCCATCAATGAATAAATGGATAAACAAATTGTGGTTGTTGTTGTTGTTGTCAGGTGCCATCGAGTCAGAACCGATTCATAGCGACCCCATGCACAGCAGAACGAAACAATGTCCGATCCTGGGCCAACCTCACTACCGCTGCCACACTTGAGTCCATCAATGATGCCACCTGGCCAATCCATCTCATTAGCGGTCTTCCTCTTTTTCTCTGACCCTCCACCTTACCCAGCATGACATCCTTCTCCAGTGACTGTTTCATCCGGATAATATGTTCAAAGTATGAGAGACAAAGCTTAGCCATTTTGGCCTCCAAGGAGCACTCTGGCTGCACTTCTTCCAAAACAGATCTATTGGTTCTTTTGGCAGTCCATGGCACTTTCAGTATTCTCCTCCAACACCACAACTCAAAGGCATCAATTCTTCTACGATCCTCTTTATTCACTGTCCAGCTTTCGCATCCATATGAGGCTATTGAAAACACCATGGCCTGGGTCAGGTGCACCTTAGTCCTCAAGCTGACATCTCTGCCCTTCAATACTTTAAAAAGTTCCTGTGTAGCAGATTTGCCCAATGCAATACATCGTCTGATCTCTTGACTGCTGCTTCCGCGAGTGTTGATAGTTGATCCAAGAAGAATGAAGCCCTTGACAACTTCAATCTTTTCTCCATTGATAAGAATGTTGTTTATTGGTCCAGTGGTGAGGATTTTTGTTTTCTTGACATTGAGATGTAATCCATATCGAAGGCTGTGCTCTCTGATCTTCATAAGCAAATGTTTCAAGTCCTCTTCAGCAAGCATATCACAGGTTGTTAATGAGCCTTCCTCTAATCCTGACGCCACATAGATGCACATAATTGAATACTACTCAGCATTTAAAAGGAATTAACTACTGACATGTGAAACAACATGGAAGCATTTCAGAAACATATTAAGCTAACAAAGCCAGACTCTTAAAAAGTGCATGCTATACTCTAGAAGGATAAGAAGTAGATCAGTGGTTACCTAGGGCCAGGGGTAGGATTTACTGGGAAGGGTCACTAGGAAACTTTTTGAGGTGATGGAAATGCTCTCTATATTGATTTAATGCTTGTTTCATTCAAAATTGCATAGAAATTGTGGTGTTAGTGAAGAATCTTGAATATATCATTGGCTGCCAGTAGAACAAACAAATCAGTCTCAGAAGAAGTACAACCAGAATATTCCTTAGAAGTGTGGATGGCACTGTGAACTTCAAAAAAAATCAATTTCTTGAAAAGGACATCATGCTTGGTGAAGTAGAGGTCAATAAAGCAAGCGGCACAATGACACAACAGTCACAACTGTGGACTCATACATCATGAATATAGTATAGAACAGCATTCCATTCTGTTACACATAAGGTCCCCAAGAGTCAGAGCCCACTCAACAACAACTAATGTAACAAATGCAAAACAAATGATTAAAATCAAATGATTTTGGGTGTCTGAACCATAGTTCTTAGTACAGGAAATAAAGTATTAATATATTAAATAAGTTGCTTTAGCTAGAGTTTGAAAAATAGGCAAATATTTATTTTTCCAAATATCTTTTGAGATTGGAAACAAGATGATAATTCCAAAGAACAACAAAGTATACCAAAAAATGTTCTTGAGTAAAATAAAATCTAACTTGAAATAGTTTTGATTAATTTAACAAAAGAACAGCTTTCATTTTAATCATAAACTCTTTATTAGTTGGCATTTATGCACATAAAATATGTATTTAACTAGATATTCTATACAAACCTTATAAACTATGCCAAATACAAAATTATTATAAAGTAAAACAATCAAGATGCATCAAGGAAGCATGTGATTCTGTGTCAAATTTACAATCACATATCTAATATGGCACACAAGCCTTTTATTCACCACCACCCCCAAAATAATACCCACATGAGAGCTTTAAAATGGGCAATTAGCTGCTAAAACAAATTATTTTCATTATGTAGCACATGGTAGAAAGAGACACAATGCAAAATAAAGTTATTAAAATCTTCCGAATTTCTTCATGTACTTGCTAGTAAGACAACAGAACATAAGGCAATGAGGACTTGTCCATATAAAATAGTTAAATTAAATATGCTTTTAGCACTTCTCTGATAGATGTGCTCTGTCAGCCACTTTTGGTGGAAGGAGAGCCCACTATAGACACCAGGAAAACCTTTTCGACCACAGCCATGTCCGTAACTGGTAATTCCCATTACAAAAAATCGTTCATGTTCTGGTAAGTAGCACATTAACGGTCCACCACTATCACCCTATCAAAAGAGTTCCAAAATAGTATTAGTTACTTTTATTATTCTCCACAACTCATTACTGTTTAAGCAACAGTAAAGTTGGAATAAATTAATTACATCAAATATACTTATAGAAATATACATTTACAATATACCTCCAAGTTATAAAGATTCATAGATTTTTTTCATTTAAATTTCCAACTCAAACAGGAGTATTCAGTCCGGCCCAGCGCATGTAGAAAATATACGGCTGGTACATAAACTTCCCATCTGCATACTTTTGAACTGGAATACCATAAATGAATGTTTTTTAATGTAAAAATAAAAACATTTAGGAGAAATATAATTTAGGAAGTGTGTAAAATACTGTGCTGTTAACCACAGGAAGAAGCACAACCAGAATGCTCCTTAGAAAACAGGAAGGCGAGATTTCATCTCTCACACTTCAGATGTGTTATCAGGAGAGACCAGTCCCTAGAGAAGGCCATCATGCTTGGTAAAGTGGAGGGTCAGCAAAAAGGAGGAAGACTCTAATGAGAATGAGTGGTGACAGCAATGGGCTCAGGAGAAACACCAATTTTGAGGATGGTGCAGGACTGGGCAGGGTTTTGTTCTATTGTGCTATGAACTGGAACTGACTCGATGGCACCTGGCAATAACACAATAACAATTAAGCACATACAAAGATGTTGAACATCATTAGTTTTTAGGAAAAAGCAAATAAAAATTTCATTGATATACTATTTCACACCCCAAAAGATGATTATAGTAAAAAAGATATTGTTGTTAAGTGCCTTCAAGTCAATTCCAACTCATAGTGACCCTGTATAGGGTTTACGAGGAGCGGTTGGTGAACTGCTGACCTTGTGATTAGCAGTCCAGTGCTTATCTTACAGTGCCACACCAGGACTCCAATAAAACAGGCAAGAAAAAGATGTGGAAAAACTGGAAACTTCATCCATTTCATTGCTAGTTGGATGTATAATCATGCAGCCACTTGGTAGTTCTTCAAAATGTTAAACATAGAGAGAGTTATGTTTAAATAAATATCACTCAGTAATTCTACTCCTAAATAGAATTTCCAAGAGAAAGAAAATATGTGTGTGCACAAAAATCTGTACATAAATATTCATAGCAATATTATTCATATTAGCCAAAAAGTAGAAATCAAAATGTCCATCAACTGACAAATGGATGAATAAAATGAATATATTCACACAGTGGTATATTATTCAACAATAAAAAGGCATGAAATACTGATACATGCTACAATATGGGTGAAATGTGAAAACATTATGCTAAGTGAAACAAGTCCATTGCAAAAGATCATCGATTGAATCATTCCATTCATATAAGATGGCCAGAATAGACTGATCCATGGTGATTAGTGGTTGTCTTGGGCTAAAGGTGGTTGTGAAGAGAATGGAGAATGACTGCCTATAGGCACGGGGTTACTTTTTTGGAAGGTAATGAAAATGTATCTAGAATTATATTGTGGTGATGGTTGCACAACCCTGAATATTCTGAAAATCCCTGAATCATAGACTTTAAGTGGGTGAATTGTATGGTGTGTGAATTACATCTCAGTAAAGCTGCTCAAAAGAGAGCCCCAGGCCAGATGACTTCTCTGGACAATTCCACCAAAAATTTAGTGAAGAGTTGACACCAATTCTAGTTAACTTATCCCAATACATAGAAATGGCAGGAATACTCCCTCATTCATTCTATGAAGCCAGGATATAAAATGTCTAATATAGAAAGATCTATTGGAGTCCAGGTGTGGAGCCACAGGATAAGCACTCAACCTTAAGGTCGGTTTGAACTGCAAGGTTTGTGGTTAAAACTCACCAGCCACTCCTTGGAAACCCTGTACAGGGTCGCAACTGACTCTATGAAACACAACAACAACAACATAGAGATTAGAGGTTGCCTTGGGCTCTTGTTATTGTTAAGTGCCATCAAGTTGGTTTTGACCCCTAGTGACACTGAATAGGGTTTCTGAGGAGTGGCTGGTGAGCTTGAATGGCCGACTTTCTGGTTCAAGCCAACTTTGCAACCCATCACATTAACTCACAGTGCCATACTGGGACTCTGCTTTAGGCTGTAGGTGGGTAGAAATTATACCACCCACAAAAAGAAAATTAAAGACCAATATTCCTCTTGAATACACATGCAAAAATTCTCAACAGAAGTCCAGCCAATGGAATACAATAGCATATCAAAAAAATTATGATCAGGTTGGATTCTCCTTATAAATAAAACAAGGAAAAGAATCACAAGATCATATCAATTGACACAGAAAAGGCATTTGATAACTCCAACAGACTTTACTGATAAAAACTCTCAGCAAAATAGAAATAGAAGAGAAATTCCTAAATATAATTAAGGTCATATATGCTAAATCAACAATCAACATTACTCTCAATGAAGGGAGATTGAAAGTATTCCCCTTGAGAACGGGAATGAGACGAAGATGCCTGTTATCATCACTTATTCAATATTGTACTGGAAGCCCTAGCCAGAGTAACAAGGCAAGAAAGGGTACATACAAAAATCAGTTGAATTACTCTACATTAACAAAGAGAACTCCAAAAAGGAAATTAAAACAAAAAAAAAAACTATTTACAATACCCCTCCCAAAGATAAAATACCTAGGAATAATTTTAACCAGGGGTGTAAAAGACTTATAAATGATAACCTACAAAGCACTACTTCAAGAAACCAAAAGAGATCTATATAAATGGAAAAACATTCCATGATCATGGATTGGAAGACCTAACATTGTAAAATTGTTAATATTCATCTGCTCTTATTTCTTGAAGATAGATACCAAGTAAAAATATTGCTGGTGTGGTGCTGTTGGATAAAGTACTCAACCATAGGTTGGTTTGAACCACAAGGTTCCACCCCATAACGACCCTGAGTAGGGTTTCCGAGGAGCAGATGGTGAGCTTGAACCTCTGACCTTGCGGTTCAAACCAACTTTGCAGTTCAGCACATTAACCCACAGCACCACACCAGGACTCTGTAGTAGAGCATACAGGGAACAAAATAATGAAAAATTCTTAGACCTTACCATACACCTTAAGGGAATGAGTTGCTGGACCAGGGGGCTCAGGACCATAGTCTGTAGTGACACCGTGGTCAATTGGAAATTGTCCCTAAAGACACTGTTTTACATCCTACTTTGGTGAATAGTGACTGGGATCTTAAAAGCTCCTGAGTAGCCATCTAAGGTACAGCTATTGTCTCTCCCTGTGTGAATGAAAGGAGACAACTTAAGACACTTTGAATCAATTTGTCCATAGAACTAATGGAACATGTGAACTTCAGTCTCCACGACCCTGAGATCAGAACTAGATGGTGCGTGGCCATCACTGACAACTGTTTTGAAAGGGATCACATTAGAAGGTATCGGGTGATAAAGTGGAAGAAAATGTGGAACAAAACTCAAAATTATAAAAATGACCAGGCTTACTGGTCAGAAGGATACTGGAGGAACCAGAAACTAGGACCTTTGGTTACCCTTTAGATCTGGAACTGAATTCACCCTTGTAGATCAATTTTCAGCCAAGCAGTAGACAGCTTTATACTGGGGACAACAATGCCAGTATAGAATGGTCAACCATTCAGCACTTACCTAAAGACAAAATTCAGAAGGGTTGAGAAAGAAAGTGGAATGGAAATAAAAATCACAGGGAGGAAGTGTGAGAACTCATGCTACTTACAGGGGATTGCAATCTTTGAGATGAAGCAAAGTATATGATTTGCTAAATGTAAAACTGATGATTTGCTCTGTGAACCTTCACTCGATTCACAATAAAAAGTTGTCTTTAAATGTTGATACTAGCCAAAGTGATCTATAAATATAATGCAATTCTGATCCAAATCATAACAACATTCTTTAATGAAATAGAAAAACTATTCTCCAACTTTTGCTATTGTTAACTGCTATCAAGTCAGTTTCAACTCACAGCAACCCTGTATAGGGTTTCCGAGGTATGTCTGAACCACTGACCTAGCAGTTAGCTATCCAGTGCTTATCCTACAATGCCACATCAGGACCCTATCTCCAACTTTATATAAGAAAAGAGGCTCCAAATAGCTAAAGCATTACTGAAGAACAACAAAGTAGGAGATCTCACACTTCCTGATATAAGAACTTACTATACAGCTCTGGTAACATAGTGGTCACGAGATGGGCTGCCAACCTCAAGGTCAGCAGTTAGAAACTACCAGCTGTTCTGCAGGAGAAAGATGAAGTTTTCTGCTCCTGTAACGATCTACAGCCTGAGAAACCCTATACAGGGTTTCTATGACTCCACGACACACAACCACCACCAGCATCATACAGCCTGGTATTGATTCAATGAGAGACACATATGCCAGTAGAATAGAATTGAATTCTAAATTCACTCATCTGCAGACAGCTGATCTTTAACAAAGAGTCCATTTAGTGGGGAATAGACAGTCCCTTAACAAATCATGTTGACAAAACTGGATATCCATTTACAGGAAAATGAAACAAAAGTCGTACCTTGTATTTATTACACACAAAACTAACTCAAAATGGATCAGACTTAAACTTTAAAACTAAAACTATAAAATTCTTTGAAGGTAACACAGGGACAAAGTTAGGCATCCTAATTTTTTGGCAAAAATACGCTACCAAACACAACTAAAAATGCATGAGTAACAGAAGGTAAACTGGATAACTGGGACCTACTTAATCTCATCAAAAGACGTACAAAACAGTAGAAAAACATACAGACAGGGGAAAAAGTTTTGGTAATGACAAATCTAACAAGGACCTAATAGGTAAAGTATAAAGAAATACTCAACAACTCAACAACAAACAGACAAACATATAGAAAAATGAGCTAAGGATATAAACAGACACTTCACCTAAGAGAACATTCTGGTGGTCAACAAACCCACAAAGAGATTCTTGAAATTATAGAGAGATGTACATCAAAACTACAATGAGATACTATCTCACGTTGTTTAAAAAAAAAAAAAAAGGTACTAATGACATACATACACTTGGTGCACACATACCACAACCCTATATACAGTTTCTAAGGAGTACAGTCCTTGTGGTTCACAGTCCAGTGCTTATCCTACAGGGCCACACCAAGACATGTGTTAACTCTGGTCATGGGAAAGGCAATATACAATATGGGCGAAATCAGCACAACTTAACCAAGGTAAATAAAGACACCGAGGGATATACAAAAATAAAGAAATACTACAGTAAATGCTGTGTGACTCTGTAGGATAAGCAATGGACTGTGAATCACAAGGTTGGCAGTTTAAACCCACCAACTGCTCCTAGGAAACCCTGTACAGGGTCTGTATGAGTTGGAATCGACTCTACTTAACAACAACAACAACAACACAGTAAATGCTCATGTCCTGGTGTGGTGATTAGGATAAATACTGCACTGCTAATCGCAAGGTCGGCAGTTCAAACCCACTAGCTAATCCTCAGAAACTCTGTACAGGGTCCCTATGTGTCAGAACTGACTTGAGGGCACTTAGCAACAACAACAGTAAGTTCTATATTGTACAGCTTTTTCAACAATCGTAATAACAGGGAAGATATGTGAGTGGTTATGGAGGTAAATATGTAAGCAATATGGGTATGGGATAGAAGAGATTGATATTTGTGCCCATTCCAAATATGCTGTGCAAGACTTCTTTAAAATATTCAAAAGCAAAGAGATCAGTTTGAGGACTAAGGTGTGCCTGACCCAAGCCAGGGTATTTTTCAGTAGCCTCATATGTATGTGAAAGTCAGAAAATGAATAAGGAATGCCCTAAAAGAATCTATGCATTTGAATTATGGTATTGGAGAAGATTACTAAAGTACCATGTATTGTAAGAAGAACAAACAGACTTGTCTTGGAGGAAGTGCAGCCAGAATACTCCTTAAAAGTCAGAATGGCGAGACTTCATCTGGCATATTTTGAACATATTATCAGGAGGGACCAGTCCCTAAAGAAGGACACCAACTTAGCAAAGTGGAGGGTCAGTAAAAAAGAGGAAGACCTCCAATGAGATAGATTGACATAGTGGCAGCAGCAATAGGCTCAAGCGAAACAATTATGAGGATGGTGCCAGACTGGGCAATATTTCCTTCTGTTGTGCATAAGGTCACTATGAGTTGGAACTAACTCAATGGCACCTAACAATAACAGCATGGGTGTGGGAAAGGGTATGGAAGTACCTGCAAGTGGATATATAAGTATATTTGTGGGTATACGTTTGTATGTGTTGCATATATATTTATGTATGTAATAAATAGCACATGGAAGGCAGTTAGGGCTACTGTCTGGATATACCCAAACACCTCTGGGACAGATTTACTAGTTTTGAAGATTCAGGAGTATAGTGTTGTGGGACAACTAAGTCAATTGGCATCACTTAGTTCACAAAGATAATGTTCTACATCCTAGTTTGGTGAGTAGCCTCTGGGGTCTTAAAAGTTTGTCAGTGCTTGCCTACCACTGCTGACAACTCTGAATGATTACAATAGGAAGTTCTGGATAGAATGGGACATAATTGTGAAACAAAACTCAAAATCATAAAAAAAGATCAGGTTTACAGGCTGATAGAGATTGCTGGAACCCTGAGACTTTGATCCCCAGATACCATTTAAGGTCTGGAGTTGAACTTACTCCTGTGGCTTAACTTTCAACCAAATGATAGGTCTATAAGTTGAACAATAACACAAGAGAGATAGACACTCATTAGAACAATCAACCATAATGATCAAAAGGGCAATTTTTGCCCAGGGATAAAACTCAGAAGGCAGGAAGGGGTAAAGAAAGAAAGGAAAGGAAAGGAAAGAAAGATGAAGCGAAACAATAAACACAGGAAGGAAGAAGGAAGAGTGCTATTACATTGAGGGCATTGAAATCAATGTCACAAAACAAAATGCATAGGAATTGTTGGATGGAAATCCCATTTACTCGGCAAACTTTCACCCAAATTACAATAAAAATAAAAAAAGACATCAAGGTGGTTAGAACAACAATAATTTTCTCTCTAAGAGGATGCTGCTATTGTTGTTATGTGCTGTTGAGTCGGTTCTGACCCATAGTGACCCTGTATAGGGTTTCCGAAAAGCAGTTGGTGAGCTTGAACTGCTGGCCTTGCAGTTCAAATGGCTTTGCAGTCTGGTGCATTAACCCACAGCGCCACACCAGGACACTAAGAGGATACTGCTACTAGATGTTAAAATTGGACCACAAGATCAGAGGCTCAAACTCATTAGCTGTTCCTTGGAGACTATTCAGGGTCACTATGAGTTGGGACCAACTTGACACTTAAACAATAACTAAAAAAAAAAGATTAAGAACTTGTGAGAAGGCATCTAAGCCACAGCTATTGATCTCTTCTTCCCATCTGGAGCAAAGAACAGTGAAGGAAACCAACCCAGACTCAAGAAAGAAATGAGTCCACAAGACTAATGGCCCACGAGAACTACAGTCCTTTCTAGTTTGAGACCAGAAGAAATGGTGTCCAGCTACACTACCAACCACTCTTGTCAGGGACACGATAGATGGCCCTGGTTAGAATGGGAGGAAAATGTAGAACAAAACTCATATTTATAAAAAAAAAAAAAAAAGATCGGGGTGAAACAAGGTAAAAAAAAGAAAAAAGAAAGGAGAGAGAGTTAAAAAAACAAGAGAATTGGAAATGGATAGTGGTGATTATTGTGCACCATGGAGAGTATGTTGGATATGGTTGGATTGTACATGCAAAAATGGGTGAAATGGCAAATGTTTTGTTGTATATATGTTGCTACAAAAAAAAAGTGTCAGAAGAAAGCAAAAAGATCAGACTTACTAGACTGATGGAGACTTGAAGAATCCCCAAGACTATTGTCCTAAAATATACCATTTTAGCTTAGAACTGAAGCAACTCTCAGAGGTCACCTTTCAGCCAAATAATAGATTGCCCTATAAAAGGAACAATATCACCCAAGAGGAATGTGCTCCTTTAAATCAACTATATGAGAGGAAATAATCAAAACATTGACACAAAGCAAAGTTGAGAAAGCGAAGAGGGGCAGGGAAACTGGATGGATGGAAACAGGGCAGTCAGAGTAGAAATGGTCAGAATATTGATACTTTTTGGGGATTGCAACCAATGTCACAGAATAATTTGTGTATTAATTGTTGAATGGGAACATAATTTGCTGTGTACACTTTTAACTAAAATATAATAAAATATTTTTTTAAAGAGAGAGAGAAAGATTCAAGGCAAATTTTGTCTAAGGTTTGACTCTAACTGTAGAAATCAAGGAGTCAGAAAAGAAAGAAGATATGGATTTTTGGAAGAAAAAGAATGAAAACAGGAAGAAAAAAAGATTTTCACATTTTTAGACCAGACGAGTTTATTTTTAAAAAATGACTAAAGGCCTTGCTCAAGTTTTCTTCTGACCTTTGAAAATATTTTTAGGAAAATTATTGGGTCTTACCCTGCAAGAATCAAAAACTCCATCTTCATCACCTGCACAAAACGAAGTGTTAGGAATTATTCCCCCATAACTTGTCTCAGAATTACAAATGCTTCGAGAAATATAATGCACTTCTGCTTCCTGTAAGATATTTGTACCATTACCTATCAACAAAAAGATACCAATAAGTTATTTTTGAGAGTAGGCATTTTGACAGTGATTTTTGGTGTTTCCAGAGTGACTAATTCAGCAATTCGGTAAAATTATATATATATAATTGTGTGTCTCGAAAAATTCTCGAGAATGTTCGTAAAAATATAAATGATAGCTTGTATCTACATAGTAAACTTTTCAGGTGATTTTTGTTATCTTTGCTTTCATGTATTTTTTGAGGATCTCACAATAGTAGTTTTTACAGAAAAAAGTTATATAAATATTGTCACAGGCTAAGTGCTGATACCAGTCTTCTATTGTAAATTTTGATAACTTTTTATTAAATTTGATAACAATATTAAGATATGAAGGAAAGTTAACATGAAACATAAATAAATTTGTTTTTGTTTTTTTTTAATCACGTACCCGCTGACTTCTCTGCCAATTCCTAAACATAAAGTACTTTTTTGCCAAAGAAAAGCTAAGACAATGCAGAACAGCATCTCAAGAACTATTAATGGACAGATTTTTTGGAAATGAATCTACAGAAAAGCTACTATAACTGCTATATCTGTTCCCATCAGCCTGTCTCAGAGTTGCAGATCACACATGTGACAGCTGAGCGCTTTGTGTGCCCTGCACCTTTCCCCAACTTTTCTAATAATAGACACTGTCTTTCCTGGCTTCCGGAGGGCAGATGACAGGATTAATTCCATTCACAGAATTCCATTGCCTAGTGATACTGATTGACCTAGAAACTCAGAATACTTTTCAACTACTGCTCCTTCTTCCAACCTTTGCATTTCAATTGCCAGCAATTTTCAAAACATTTTGATTGCATGTTTGATCAATTTCAGACTGAAGAAGTTGGTAAAATTCTTCAATTTCATCATCACTGGCTTTAGTAGTTGGGTCACAAATTTGAATAATAGTAGTATTAACTGATCTTCCTGGTAGGCATATGGATATTATTCTATCATAGAATGCATTGTACTTCAAGACAGTTCTTAATATGTTCTTTTTGATAATGAATGTGATGCTATTCACATTTGTCATTCCTGGTATAGTAATTTGTCAATTCCTTCAATTTGTCATTCCTGGTAGAATAAACCACATGATTGTCAGATTCAAAATGGCCAATGCTAGTTCTTTTCAGCTCACTAATGCCCAAGATAGTAATCTTTATGTGTTCCATTTAATTTTGGACAACTTTCATTTTTCCTAGATTTATATTTCTTACACTCCATGTTCCAATTATCCACAGATGTTTCTGTTTATTTTGAGTGGTGCCCCACCAGCAAATAAAGGTCCCAAAAGTTTTATTCCATTTTTGTTATCATGGTCAACTCTACTTGGAGGGGGCAGCTCTTCTGCAGTATATTTTGAATACCTTCCAACCTGAGGGACGCATCCTCCGGCACTATATCTGACAATATTCTGGTGCTAGTCATAATGTTTCAGTATTCAATATTCTTGTATTCTCCTGCTATTTATTAGGTTTTAAATGGCTAAACACTCAGAAGTAGTCTGCCTTTCCTTCTTCCTAATCTGTCATAATCTGAAAGTTCAGCTGAAACCTGTCCATCATGGCTGACCCTGCTGGTATTCTAAAATACGGGTGGCATAGCTTCCAGCATCACAGCAACACACAAGCCACCGCAGTACAACACACTGACATATGGATGGTGGATACAACTATTTGGCTATAAGAATATATTTGGGTTTGTTTCTATTGTCTTAATTTGTACTTCTTTTTGTCTCATGTTTCCTATACTTCTCATTTCTCCTTGCCTACAGCGCCACACCAGAACTCTGATAGTTTATAGAGAGAGACACATATCCATAAGAATTCATGCTGCATCATGTGTCTTAGTCATTCTTACATTAAGAATAAATCCATAGAATGTAAAACTAAAGTTCTCTCATGTAAACATGTAAACTATCATATAATTCACAATGAAACATTAAAAAAAAAAAGAATAAATCCATAAAGCTCCAGCTTTATGGATAGCAAGCTCCACCCACACATGGGCAAGTTTTGTTCCTCAAACCCCCACTCCCACTAAGGTTCATGAAACAATACACACAAAAAAAAACTCACTTTTGACCTTTTTGGCAAATGCCCTCAATGTGATAGCCATCTTCAGTGTTTCGATTACCTTTCTAAATTCCCATCCTCACACTTTGTCCTTGACCCATGTATTCTATCTCTTTAATAATTTTCAGTAAGAAGGTTGTTGTTTGCATGTAATCTACCATGTTGCTGGAGAGTCCATTTGATACATCAAAACATATTAATCTCATTTTACAGATGGTGAAATTATATGACATTGTGAGAGACAATATAATATGCTGTAGGAGAAATGCATGAGGTTTGAGGCTGGTAGACCTGGGTTTGAATTCTGACTCCATCACCTAGTTAGCTGTGTAACTTTGGACAAATTATCTACTGTATATAAGCTTCAGTTTACCCACCCATAACATGGTATTTCTCATTGCATTGTTTAGTATTAATACAATTGGCATTAAAACAAAGGCACTAACCTGTTTTGTATTTTAAGTAGCTAACCTGATTAAGTGACAGTTTATTCCTTATCATCAGTGTTCTAATTATTGTTAAACATTCAGTAACGTGCCCAGGATCATTCAACCAGTACATGACAGGACTGGGGTTCAGATCCAAGTGTGTAATTCTTTTTTTTTTATTGTGAGGTTTACATGGGAGAACATCAGCCTTATACTCATCGTATCATATTTCGTTTCATTGCAATGATTACAATCCCCTCCATGCATCATCAAATAACCCCAAAGGGCACACCACACAGGCCCGCCCCCCCCGCACCCCCCTTTAGCCACCAGCACACAGCCCTTCTCCCTTCCTGAGTCCTGTGTCCCCAGCTGCTCCATCTGTCCAAGTCATCATCTTTGACTCCATGGCGCCACTGCCTCTCTGGGTAGGGCCCCCGCTCTCCATTCTTCTCACTTGATAGTCCCAGGGACCTCTGCTCCTGGGCTGCAAAATCAATCACTCCCCTCTTTTTGTCAAAAACATCTACCTCTATATTTCCTAGCCTCATAGTCAGTCCTGATGGCAATTATTCACTATTGTACCACAAGAGTCTTATCCCCATTTCCTTTCGCCAGTCCAGTCCCAACGGATTGGAAATCATTCAGTGGTAATTTTACCTTCCCCCTTCCTGTCTGGAACTAGGCTCCCTCTTGAAAGCTTGTAAGCCAGTCACTTCTTGCCTTTATAGGCCCCCCCATTTTGGGTAGCCAATGTCTATGTTGCCCATCCCTGTCAACAGTGTGTACTGAGGGAGTGGGAGTGATCCTTGCTGTAAAGATTTGTTCCCTTTTTTGAGCTACTTCATCCATAAGTATAGGTAAAGCTCATCAAATTGCGGCAGGTTACTCTTCCCAACCCCCCTTCTTTCTTCTTCTAGTCGAGTTCTGATCATCCAGCCATCAAAGCCAGGTCAAGTGGGTACTATCTGAAAGTCTGGGTGTTCTTGTGCATCTCCCCTCACTTCATATTAGCTAGACGCTTCACTCTCCACTCTATTCCTCTGTGGCCATGTCACTGCCTCTGGGCCAAGGTCTTGCCATACGGCTGGCCATCCAGGTCTCCACCCAAGTCCACAGGGGTCTATTGAATGTGGTCAGGCTTAGCTCGCAACTTCATTGCTGTTTTTCTCCCTCTTCCCTTATTAGTGACCAATGTGGTCATGAGTCAGACCACATGCCTGCTCATGTAGTCCCCCTTAAGTCTCAGTCTTGGAAGGGGTTTGCTCTGAGGGGTCCTGACCACTTGCCTTGATGGCTCCCAGGCAAACAGCTTACCAAGTGTGCAATTCTTTTCTTTCTTTTTTTTTTTTTTTAATGCTTTATTGTGAATTATGTGATAGTTTACATGGTAGGACATGAGCTTCACATTGATACCATCGTATATTGTTTCCTTGCCGTGGTTACAATCCCTTCCATCAACCATCATCCATCAACCAAGGTGTGTAATTCTTAAGCTCTTAGTTTTTTTCTCTAAACCATATTGTTTTCCTTATCCCTTGGAGAGTATTTATGGAGAGAAAAAAATAATTGATAGGTCTTTTATACATTTATCTCCATCTTATCTAAATAACCCACACATATTTAAATGGCTGGGGCCTATGAAAGGAACCTTGGTGGTGAAGTGGTTAGAGAGCTCTGCTGCTAACAGAAAGTTGGTGGTTTGATCCACCAGCTGCTCCACTGGAAAAAGATGTGGCAGTCCACTTTCATATAGATTTATAGCCTAGGAAACCGTATGGGGTGGTTCTACTCTGTGCCAAAAGGTTGCTCTAAGTTGGAATTGGTTTGATGGCAATGGGTGTGAGTTGTTTTTGTTTTTGTTTTTGTTTTTCAAATATTGCTAACTGGACTATAATTTCCTCAAGAACAATTTAATGTAGTAATAAAATATTCAGGCTTCAGAATCATAAAGTTCTGGACTTGAGCTGCAGCTTCTTTACTTCTAAGATATTCAACTCTTGATCTGTTCAGTGGGAATTATAACATTAGTTCCTTATCAGAATTGGGAGGATAAATTACTATATTTCAAACATTGCCTTGTTGTTGTTAATGCCGTCAAGTGGATTCCGACTCATAGCAACCTTGTATAGGGTTCCTGAGGACTGGCTGGTGCTTTTGAATCTCTGACCTTGAGGTTCAAACCAACTCCAGTGTTTATCCTACAGTTCCACATCAAAAGATTGCCTGAAACATTGTAGATGCCCCTAAATGGTACCTATTGTTATTATCAAAGGCAGACAGTATGTTTTCTATTCCTCTCATTGGTTCAGTCAACCAACATTTATTTAGTGCTCCTATGTGCGCTGGAGTTCTGGTGTGGCACTGTGGGTTAATGCGCTGGACTACAAGGTCAATTTGAATCGAAAGGTTAGTGATTCAAGCTCACCAGTCACTCCTCAAAAACTCCATATAGGGTTGCTATGAGTCAGAAGTGACTCGACGGCACTTAACAACAACAACAATGAAAGCATATGGCAATCTATCCACTTGATAGATACTAAACAAGGCATTAAATAAAAAGAAAATGAAATTTGATTCCTTACAACCAAGCTCATTATTCAAGACAGACAATTCTGCCACAGAGTTGTCTTTATCATCTGTCAGCCTCTGAAACTACAGACACACTGGGAACCATTATTTTCTTTGAGAATGCGTAAAGGCTCAAATATCTTTGCAAGTATAATCACAGAAAGTATTTCTACATTGGAAAAGAATTTTCTTTATCCCATAAAGAAGAAGAAGAAGAAAACAACAGACAAAACAAGAATCTTTCTGCTGGGTTTATAAAGACCTAATTTTCAAGCATATGATATTTCTAGCATGACATAGGTGATAAATATCTCAAAGGGTTGACCCTTCTCTGCCAACAAGCTGAAAAACATATTATCAGTGAAATTCAAACTATATTTACCTTCTTCCTGTGTTCTTCCCCAGCCACTTATGAAACATTTTGTGCTTTTGTTCAGGTTTTGGAAAACATCAAAGGGTAGACAAATAGGCTGAATATAGTCATTATACTTTACTGCTTTTTTTAAATGAAAAAGCGCAATATCATTTACATAAGATTCCAGATTGAAGCCTGGATGGATTATGATTGAGTTAATTTTTATCTTCCTAGTGTCTGAGTGGTTCACATGAATATTATTAGTTCCAATCACAGCTCTCCACATTACAGGATTTCTGAAAGAGAGTAAGTATTCTTATTATAGCACATGTAACTAAACAAATATTCCAAATTTCCCACTAGTTTTTTTGTTTTCCCACACTAGATTAATAAAAAAAAAAAAAGTTTTTAATCTTACTTTCCTATGATGTGAAGTGTCATATAAATATTATGAACAGGAAATCCAGAAACAGATTCAAGTATAAAGAATTTAATATATGATTAAAGTCACAATTCTTATCAATGGGCAAAAGGATGAATTATTCAATAAATGACATTGGGACAACTAACTGACCATTTAAAAAGAAAAATAACATTAGATTCCTGAAATACACTAACCACCAAAAGAAACTCCAGATAAATTAAAGATTTAAATGTACAATTTAAAATTTTTAGTTCCTAAAAGAAAAGGAACAGAGAACAGAGACTAGTTCTTAGTGATTATAACTATGATTTCTAGAGGAAAAGGAAGTACCCAAACCAACATAGTGGTCAGTCATAGGTTGGTGAAGGAGCTTGAAGAAATATACAAATGTGGAATAAAAAGTTTTAATAACAAAAATTTGGTTTTATAAAATTTATTTATTGACTTAGGAAGGACTTCTTTTGCTGACAACCTTGCTTGATAAAAGAGCTACAGGAATAGAAATCAACTTTCTAGCAATCTCCATCTTCAAACCATTATAGACTATATTTTAATGAAAGTCATCATCACAAACTTGGTTAAAAAGTACAAGTGTGTCTGTCTTCCAGGAATTGCTACTAAAAACTGGACACCAACAACTAAAACTAATTAAATAACCCTAAGTACTTCATAGCACTGTGAAAGAAACAGCCTGGGTATATCCTTTAGACTGACTTAGTGGGATGGTGTCCTGGATAAGCACTTAACTGCTAACCACAAGGTCAACAGTTCAAGCCTACCAGCTGCTCCTTGGAAACCCTAAACAGGGTTGCTATTGGTCAGAAGTGACTCAACAGCACTTAACAAGAACAAGCTGAAGAATATTCTAAGTATTGTTTAAAAGCAAAACAAAACACCTCTTCTGGAGTTTTACAAGGAGTTTATAAAACAATATAGGGAAGAACAACCTATGACTACAATCTGCCCTAATTAATTCCATCAAGTCAAAGTGGGAATTGGAAACTTCAAGCAGTGCCTTTCAGACACTAAAGCAGAACTCCAGAGAAAATTGGTTTGTTTCATTGCCTGGATTGAAGTAATTGCCTGTAACAATTACTGTTTCTACAGTTTTCTTAAAAGTAGACTAGGTAACCTTTAAAAGGTTTTTAAATTTTTTTTAAAGTTCCAGTTCTGCTTTAATCTATTTCAAAATAATTATGCTTCTTAACTTGGCCAAGTTTATTCAAAAGAATCAATTCATGTTTGGTCCATAAGATTACACCTTAGATTACAGCCTTCAATATGGATTACATCTCAATGTCAAGAAAACAAAAATCCTCACTACTGGACCAATAAACAACATTCTTATCATCGAAGAAAAGACTGAAGTTGTCAAGGACTTCATTCTTCTTGGATCAACTATCAACACTCATGGAAGCAGCAGTCAAGAGATCAAACGATGTATTGCATTAGGCAAATCTGCTGCACAGGAACTTTTTAAAGTGTTGAAGAGCAAAGATGTCAGCTTGAGGACTAAGGTGCGCCTGACCCAAGCCATGGTATTTTCAATAACCTCATGTGGATGTGAAAGCTGGACAGTGAATAAGGAAGATCATAAAAGAATTGATGCCTTTGAATTATGGTGTTGGAAGCGAATACTTAAAGTGCCATGGGCTGCCAAAAGAACCAATAGATCTGTTTTGGAAGAAGTGTAGCCAGAGTGCTCCTTAGAGGCCAAGATGGCCAAATTTCATCTCATACTTTGGACATACTGTCAGGAGGGTACAGTATCTAGAGATGGATATCATGCTTGGTAAGATGGAGGGTCAGAGAAAAAGAGGAAGATCCCCAACGAGATGGATTGGCAGCATCGATGGACTCAAGTGTGGCAACAGTAGTGAGGTTGGCCCAGGATCGGACATTGTTTCGTTCTGCTGTGCATAGGGTTGCTATGAGTTGGTGCCGACTCGATGGCACCTAACAACAACAATAACAAATCTTGTTATCTGACATTTCACATTTATGACAATAGTAAGAAAACTACTATTCCAGGGGTTAGAGACAAGCTGGTACCCTGGTGACACACTCCATCCAACCCCTATACAACAGAGATTCAAAAACCCCAGTGAAACACATACATATGATCATTCTGGAACTCTGACCATCAAATGAGATGATAAATAACTGGATTAAACACCAACTGGAAAAGGAGAGAGAGCAAAAAACAGTTACTGAGAGAGATGAAGCAGGGTCTGGCATTGCATGACGCCATTTTGAAACACAGAGGCAACATACAAGGTTGAGGAGAAACCAACTTCATGGAATCCCTATTGGGACAGAGACAGTGTGGACAGGAATGAAGCAAGGTGAATAGATTATGAATTTGATCTGGGAGAAAAAAGTGCAGTAAAGTTGCAAGAATACTAATGGCAAGAATCAACCGCAGAACAAGATGGGAGGGACAGTGAAAGGGGACAAAGCAACTTGGTAGTAGAGCCCTAGTTGTTTGGGTTGAGGGTCCATGTGGAGGAGAAAGGCTGTTGGCAGGTACTCCCCTCCCCTACTTAGTTAGTCTGGGCAGAAATTTTTATTGCCTGGCATTAAAAATAAATTAGAAATAAAAAAATAAAAAAAACAGCTATCAAGTTAATTCAACCAAAAAACAGAAGGTGTGGCAAGATTAATTTCTGATAAAATAGATTTCAAGGCAAAAACCAGTATAAGGAATAAGAAAGGGCATAAGGAATAAGGAATAATAAAGATTGAAGGGTCAATCCAGCAAGAGGACATAACCATAATAAGTACTTAACACTCAACAAAAAAAGCCCCAAAATGCAAATACAAATATACTAGTCTCTTCACAGTAAAGGGAAATAGACAACTCCACAATAATAAAGTAGGAGACTTTAACGTACCACTCTCAATGAAGGACAAGGCAACTAGAAAGAAGTTCAACAAAGATACAAAAGATCTCCACAGCACAATCAACCAACTTGACCTTATAGACATATACTGAACACTCTACCCAACAAAAATGCAATACACATTTTTTTCCAGTGCGCATGGATATTCTCCAGAATAGACATTGTATTAGGCTACAATGCAAGCCTCAGTGGTGGTGGTGGTGTGCCATGGAGTTACTTCTGACTCATAGCAACCCTATATAGGATTTCTGATGCTGTAAATCTTTATGGGAGCAGAAAACCTCATGTTTCTCCTGCAGAACACCTGGTAGTTTCGAACTGCTGACCTTGAGGTTAGCAGCCTGACTCATAACCACTATACTACCAGAGCGCCTTGCAAGCCTCAATAAATTTTTAAAAGCCAAAATGCTTCTTCTTGGATCATAATGCTATAATATTATAAATCAATAATATAAAGATCAGGGGTAAGAAACGAGATGTATGGAAACTAAATAATGGTCTGCTTAAAAATTACTGGATAAAAAAAAAAAACCAAATATACTGCTATTGAGTCAATCCTGAGCCATAGCGACTCTGTATAGACTTTGCAAGGCTGTACACCTTCCAATGAACAGAAAGAAGAAATTGAACTGTCATTATTATTATTATTATTATTTTAACTTGCAACAACAACAAAAAAGCCCTGGTCCAGACAGTTTGGCTGGAGAATGTTCAGAGATCAGAGAAGAGCTAACATCAACTCTACTCAAACTATTCCAGAGCATAGAAAAGGATGGAATACTACTGAATTCATTTCCTAAAGCAAGTATAATCCTGAACCCAAAGTCAGGCAAAAATAGTACTAAAAAAACAAAATTATAGACCAATACCCCTCATGACAAGGAGCTCTGGTAGCGTAGTGGTTACGAATCGGGCTGCGAACCTTAAGGTCAGCGGTTCGAAACTACCAGCCGCTCCGCGGGAGAAAGATGAGGCTTTCTACTCCAGCAAGGATTTACACCCTCGGAAACCCTGTACAGGGTCACTATGGGTTGGAACTGACTCAAAGGCACTTAACAACAACCCCTCATGACAATACCAATACCCCTAAGAATAATACATTATTTGATTATTCAAATTAAAATGACCAATACCAGTTCATCTAAACTCTCAATGTCTAGGTGACCTTTCTTCAAGCTTCCATTCCATTTTTTATGACTAGCAATTTTCCTCATTTCATACTTGATATGCTCCATGTTCCAATTATTAATGGGTGTTTACAGTTGTTTCTTCTCATTCTGAGTTATGTCATTATAGAAAATGACAGTCCCCAAAGCTTTACTCTATATATGCCATTAAGCTTGGCTCTATTTTGAGGAGGTAGCCCTTCCCTAGTTACATTTTGAGTGTCTTCCAATATGAGGGGCTCATCTTCTGACAGCATATGAAACAATGTTCCACAGTTATTTATAAAGTTTCATTGGTCAGTTTGTTTTTCAAATAGATCACCAAATCCTATTCCTAGTTTGTCTTAGACTGGAAGCGCCATTGAAACCTCTCCAGCATGGGTGACTCTGATTTTATTAGAAATACAGATAGCATAGCTTTCAACATCATAGCAACATGTAAGATATCACAGAAAGGCTAACTGACAAAGAAGTGGTGGGTAATAGGCCTAGACAATAAAAAATGTGATTATTTCCAGTTTACTCCAACAGAATTATAATCTATTATTTTGAGTTTTATAAATTAATATGATTATTCCTGTGTATAAAATTGTGAATTCTTGATGAAAAGTCCTAGATAGCATGGAATATTTTATTTGGCATAGTATCTAATTTAATAACAAAGTCCTGTTGGACAATGTAAGAAATTATCTCTCTCTCTCTTTCTTGTTTTTTTTTTTCACTTTGAATTGAGTGTTGAAAGAAGGTTTACAGACAAGATCATCAGTTTTATATCCAATAAATCATATACTTTGTTTCATCTC